TCGCAGATGCTTTTAGGTGCACTTTTGGCAACAAAACGCCGCAAATTCTGTCGTGATCCAGTAAGAAAGGTTATGATGCCTTGCGAATCGAACATTCTGCCCATATCATTGTGATGTATTGCGATTGTCCACTTTTTTCTTCCCAATGGATCCCAAACCATCGCAAAGTCCATTTGGACTGAGGCTTGAAGCTTAATGTTACACTCCAGATTTATATACGAACTTCGCGTTGCCAAAATCTACATCCCAGCCTAGATATTGATCTTAACCGGAATCCCATTCAATGCTATGTAAAATCTGTGTTGATAATGATACACATCAATTCTAGGTCATCGAGGAATCGTGGCTACCTAATATGCGTTGGTGGGTATCTTTGGCGATGGCAGAAAAGAATTACACAATTTCATTCCTGTGGCGACGCAGGGTATGAAAACCTGATAGAATTACAATGAAACTGCCAATTCTTAATGCTTCCCTGATAATCAACATGTTGTTTTCTGTGGCAAGGCTCATATCTGTTATTATGTTATGTTCAATAATATTTAATCTCATCAATATCTACAACAATGTAACAGATTTGTAGTAAAGCGTTTTGTCAGAAGTATAAGATATCCTACGATGGATTTTGTCAGTTCAAATTTTCAATTGTCAGGGATGTGAAATTAATGGAGTTTTACATGCTACTTTCCCACTCGTAATGGGCTAACCTATTACTAACGGACATTGTTTATGCAGTGTGCAATGAATGGTCTGGAAGGTGAGTATGGAATTTGAGAAAATAGACCGATATTCCGTTTGTAGAAATGTCTGGAAAATCGAAAATCCCTCTTAATATAAATAAAATCATGATCTTCTCTCTACGAAAAAGTGTCAAAGGGATGGAATACAATTATTATGGTCAATAAAAAAATCAGTGACAATCGAAATATTTGTGACTGGATAATAGAAGCGACATTTACAAGTACATATAACAAAAACAAGACAATATTTTTGAATAAATAAACAAACAATAAATAAATAAAAGTAGGCAATTAACCTTTCAACGCAATTTACACGTGATGACGACACGTGTGAATTATGTCGAAACGTTCTTTGCCTTTATTATAAAAGAAGTGTGTTTATTCCTTAAAATTGTCTTCTGATTGTGATATAAAGGATTTGTCCGTTGCCCTGTAAGCGAATCAAAAAAGACGCGCGAAGAAGTTTAGCCTGTCACTATAATTGCAACAAACAATTTTATTACAATTTGTGTAAGGCAAAATTCCACGATTTTTTACCGGTTGTCACAGATTGCTCTGGAGAAAAACTAATGCATGTGAAGGAGGTAATAAATGAAAATACCCAAACCATACGAAAACATATATGTTCTTCAATTGAACATTTTTAAAAAAAAAAATTATTTGATATATTTAACTGTTGGTGTTGCGTTTATTTTTAACTCATTAAAAAGTATTTCTAACGACGGCTAATACTCCTATGTGTAATCAAAGGCCAGACAGTGTCAATCAAACGTACCCAACAACGCCCTAACAATATTCTGCTAATGTTAACACTAATAAGGCCTTAAGGGGCGTGTCAAAATTTATTTGTAGCGCGTATTGTGTACATAGTGTCCATACCACACCACATTCGTCATGCTTCCTCCAGACATAATAAACACAATGATTGGTTCAGTAGATATATTTATCAAACGTAATATACCGAGTAAAACAAAAATCCACCTTAATTTGACTCTGTTGATGTTTTTGAATAAGGTAGTATTCAAATGAATCTGTAACTAGGATTTGAATAACATGAAAGATTAACTAAAAAATAAATACATTGTTCAAATAACTCCATTTGACCACAACTCGGTTACTTAAAGGGACAAATGCACTTGTTGGGTCGTAGAAGTACTAGAAATGTACGAAAAGAAAGGACTATGCCAATGTTCTGACAAACTACCCTAATTGTACATTGTTCGTAGCGTTTTTGGTCTTTTAAGATTGTTCTCTTAATATTTGCTTAGAGTGTTTCATGTTGCAGATTTTCAATTTGTATATTCATGTATATTGTAACACCTGAATAAATACCGTTCAGATTTTGTAGATAATAAAAATGTTAAAAACGCATCAGGAACGACTATATACTTTATCCATGTCAGCCCCTCAAACCTGCTTCACTGACAAGGACAAGCTGGGTTGAAAAACTCGAATGTATTATCTCGAACCAATGCTCATGAACTCTCAAAACCCTTTACTGCTGTGTCGATAATCCTGCCCCTTGCTGACTTATTTTGCTTCAACGTTGCCTTATATAATTGAAATGCCTCAAATAGAAGTCAAAGACACATAAAAAAGCTAAAAAAACCCTTTACATTCCCTTTAAGAAACCTCTCAAATAAAATCACGAGATAGAATGTTACATATGAAAGAGATGCACTAAATCGTGTATACTAAAAAGATTTAGTCTTTGCTTACCTTCCAAAGAAGGAATCCGTATTAAAATGCACCAAACGCACGAATTAACACAAAATAAATGAGAATAACCAAATGGCAACGCAACTACGTAATACATTTTTAACCATTATTAAAATGATTATCCATTTTACAGGGCGTTTAACAACCATATGTAAAATTTTAACAGCTGATGGGGCCCAATGACGTTTTCCAATGTACAGTCTATGGAAAATTATCCATGTTCTGACCTAGAATGGACGGCCAATTTGGGTCCTAGAGGTATAATTGTTGTTTGTGATGAAAGCTTATCAAATCCTCTATCCATTTCAGTAGAAAAGAGAATTTCGGCATTTTGTCAAACTTTCGAGAAAATCGACTTTGAAGGTGTACCCTTGATTTCAAGAGGAAAATCGCTTATGTTTTGGTTTGGGAAAAAAGTCTGAGACCGAAAGTGCTGTAACAGGCAGAGTTTTCATGATAGGAGGCTGAAATTTGGATCACAATAACTTCAGATAGGTGTGTACCTTCAGTACAAATTTCAACTTTCCAGCTCTGATAGCATTCGAACGGCAGTCTGTCAAAGTTTTGGTCTTCACCCCATTGAAAATGCAGTGCAGAAAGACGCTATAGGCAGACCCCCTCACTAAAATGGCCATAACTCGGCCAATTTTGACCCCAGAGGTATAATTTCACTTCTGCGCATGCGCAGCTTTTTCAATGCGTCATATCCGAAAGGACACAACTGTTAAAATGTATTATAACAGACTTCCCAAACTGTTAAAAATATATATCATAACAGATTCCTCCAAACTGTATTATAAATTACCCAAACGACAGACAAGAATCACTATAATAATACAGTATAAAATAACCGCATTAAAAAAAAATAAAAATGTCTTTAATTTTAAAACACGAACAAAAAAAATTCGAAGGAGACGGTTTCTTCTCTGCGCTAACATCTGTCATCCCCAAAGTGGCCAATTTTGTTTCAAACAACAAATTTCCTCAGGAGTAGATGCAATGAAAAGATCTAATGATTCATTTCTATCGCTTGAATAGTTTTCTCCTTGTATTAAATCTTTCGTATTAAAAATATAAAGTGTTTATTTCATTATTGAACAAATATGTCTTTAATAAATGTCCATCCTCCTAAAACGTATTTCGGTGCGGGAGACATTCAAAAGTCATTGGGTCTCTTCCTGGATTCCCATGGGCAAAATATCCCGGAGAAAAACATCTCCCAGGGCACAATTATACAGGTCCAGGCACGAGATTAGATCTACGATTGGATGAAAATGATAATCCCAAACCAGGGGACGAACCCGTTAATAGAGTTGACGCAGCAGCGCTCAAACACGACATACTGTACAGAAACAAAGACATAACATTCAGACACCAAGCAGACAAACAAATGATAGACGAACTCGAAAATATTCCCAATCCCACTTTCAAAGAGAAATTACAAAGGGCTCTTATCATAAAACTCTTGAAGGCAAAATTGAAATTGGGTATGGGCATAGCAGACGAGATTCACAAAGAATTTCGAAAAAAACAAACATTACCTCAAAGTCAAAGTTTTTGATAAAGATGAAATTTGGTCAGCCGATTTAATCAACATGCCAGTCGAGAGAGGGTACAAGTATTGTTTAACGGTGATCGACATATACACGAGATACGCTTGGGTCTTTCCCTTGAAAAACAAATCGGGTCTGACTGTCAAACAAGCATTCGAAACCATAATGAAACAATCCGACAGACGACCCCTAAAGTTGTGGGTTGATAAAGGAACCCGAACAGAAATGTGAAATCTCTGGGGTTTGAAATTTGCAGCACGCTTAACGAAGGTAAGGCCGTAGTGATAGAAAGATTCAACAGGACTCTTAAAAGCAAATTATTCAAGAAATTCACGGAATTGAAATCTCAAAAATGGCTTAAAATATTACCAGTTATTGTCGACGAATACAATAACAAAATACATTCGTCTATAGGTGTGAAGCCAACGCAAGCCTCGAATAACCCGTATAACATAAAGTCCGTCAACACTCGAAACAACTTTGAAAACGAGATTAGCAATTTGAATATTAAACCCAAATTCAAATTTGGAGATTGAGTTCGTATTTCTAAATATAAATCATTGTTTCAGAAAGGTTACGTCGGGTATTGGACGAACGAGATATTCATCGTTGATAAAGTAAACACCACATCACCTCCCACGTATGAATTGATCGATCAAGACAAAGAACAAATCATGGGAAGGTTTTATCAAAATGAACTTCAAAAAACTGACTTATAAAAATGAATCTCGAAAATGAAGATTTAGATGAAAGGTTAAGAAATTTAGATGTCGACAAGCATTTACGCACTCTCAAATTAAGATTTTTTAAATTTAAATGTAAATTTATCTTCAAAATATTATTGAATCACAAACATTCATACTTCGGATCAAAAAGGAATTCATCACTCTGCTCTACACAAAGATTCTTCGAATAACTTTTCTTTCTTTGATTCTTTCGGTCTAGAACCGACAGAAGAGATTACGAAATTGACTAGCAAACCAATCAAATGTTCTACGTTTCAAATTCAAATGCCAGGACAAAAGACAAGACCGCGGAAAAAACCGAGTTACAAAATTCAGTATCCAAATTGAACGAAAAGATCGCGAAGCAAAAATCAGAAGTTCAAGATATAATTAACACACTTCCCATTGACAAAGATATGTTGAAACAACAATTGACTGCTTTGGATACTAAAATCACGGACGAATTAGAAAAAGAAGTGGGTGTGATTAAAAATTTTCTTCAAAATAAATTTCGAGATGATATGAAAAATTATATTAAAGAACAGGTCAATCTTTTGGTATCTAGAATTCATGACGATTTTTTGAGACAAGAGAGAAAGTTGACCAAATTAGAAGCTATTGTCACAGACAAATCGTATTATTTCAATCTTCCATTCGAAAGTGACACTGTCTTCGATGCAAAAAACCAAATTTATAAATCAAACAAATACGGATTGAAAGCAGAAATAAAAGTAGGTTCTCTCGAATACGGAGAACCTAAAAACGTATTCGATATCGGCGAAACGGAAGCGTTTACTTTTCGAGGTAATTGTCTGATTCAAAAAGAGTTTCCCATGAAGGTTAAAGTCAATAAAGTAGTCTTCAAACAAACCGGTAATGCCGTCAAACATATTTCATTATTCAATGATGGTAATTTGGAAGAGAATATACGTTTGATTGATAAAAGGGATCAGGAAATTGAAACGAAAAATGGTAAATATATAGACACCTTTAAAATGGAAGTAGAAAATGATAAGGATAACATTGGAATCAAAGATTTAGATATTGTATTGGAGACGGAAAATCCACCATCAACCAACATTGTCAAAGTTCCACGACGCTTACACGTACACGGATCAATAGAATCGAGCAGTCACGAGTTTTTACGAACAACAGACTTTGAATACGTAAAACTGTATTTCGCTTTAGGTGAAAAATACACCTCGATCGATGTTCATAAAAGTCAACAAGAAAGAGAGTTTATAGTGCATTTATCGTTTGCCGAAGACTCCATCCTTGAAGGTGGTGGTTTTATTTTTAGAGCCAAGATAAACATCGAAAAAGAAAAAATATTCCTATCATCTTAAAGAGGACCATACGAAAAAAGAAATGTCGTTAGTACGCGTAAATGTTTTTACTTTTAATACCCGCAAATATAATAATGCTAGGCCAAACAAGTACGTTCTATACGATATTCCGTGGTTCCATTTATCGGAAATTCACTTAATTTAACGACTTAAAAAAATGGAACTCGAAAGCAGACAACAATACATGATAGACAAACAAGAAGAGTTGAAAATAAAGTTGAGACAGTACAATACATGCAGGAAAACATGGAGTAGAATCGATTCTTTTTTCAAAACAGCGAGCACTGTTCTAACGGTAGGAGTAACGGTGGCAACGGCCGTGACTGGTGGATTAATGCTTCCGGTCATCGTCCCAACCGTATTGGCTGCATTAACAGCCGTTCAAACGACATCTTGCGGCCTCATCACTTTAGGTTTCACGAGCAAAAAGAAAGCTCATTATAAAAAGAAAACGAATATCTTGAATATGTATCTTAATCAATTGTACATCTTTTTCGAAAGATCGAGAGAAGACAAGAACATAACAGTTGAAGAATTAAAAGAATTCAATGAAATTTTGGACAAATTCCATACAGAAATATTAGCGGTCAAAATAAAGAAATAATCAAAAATATATACTTAAAAAAATATGAATAAAATCGAACACGATGAAACATTGATAGAAAACGCCCTATTTTCCGATGTTATCAAGGCTATCTCTGATAAATTTAAAACATTCAAAGGACAAATTAAAATAGATGGAGAGATAGTCGAGGAAGGGAATTACAGACAATACATGTCACTCCTCGGTTTCAATTAGAAATTAGATTGGGTTTTTTACTTACACAACTCGCATTTCTGTCTGATTAGAAGAAGCCAAAAAAGTTTGGGAATTCAAGAAATAGAAGACAATTACGAACAGGTGTGGAAAACGTGTAGAGACTATAACGCAGTAACGCAGGTTTCACCCCTCAAACTAAACGTGCTTTCGAGTATGAGTGATGATGCGTTATTCGCTTGGGATTGCGAAACGTATTCAGAAAAAGACACGCGAAGAGCAATTCCGTATGCCTGCACTTTAATTAATTTAGAAAAACTAGAAAAAATGGAAAAGACAGAAAGAAATAAAGGGTAATTATTTACAACATATTAATTTCACGTGTTCCTATCAACACGAATCCTCTAGTTTGGCTGCATGGGGAAATTCTTCCAATCTCCCCGCGAATTTGAGAAAGATTGCCGACGTATATATCGCTAAATACACGCAAGACAACTGGGAGGAATTGAGACACGAATGGGAACCTTACGCCAAGAGAGACACTCTCTGTTTGGGAGCTTGTTTGATAAAATACAACCAAGTCACGAAAGAAGTTGTAAACCAGAATATGTCCAATAATCTAACGGCTCCATTGGTATTATTTATATCATTACGATAAAGAAATGGTGGAAGAAGAATGGTATGAAACTACTAGAATGGTTGCGAAACATACCGAAAAAGAAAATATAGAAAAAGTTTATTCGCACACTAATCCTTTTATAAGAAATTTTATCAGACGATCTATTAAAGAAGGAAGAGTTTCGGCAAATAGAAAATCATTTGAAACGAACAAAATGGATGAAATTCAAAATCAGGTTCAGAAATGGTTTCTGATATTCAAGAAATAGTGAAAGCCGGTGGACGAATTATTAGAATATTAGATGGTATAGTTTACGAAGAAAATTTTAAAACTCCACCCTATAGAGATTATATTTTAATTTTGAGAGATCTAAGAAATAAATATAAACGAGAAGGTAATATCGTGGGTAGTAATTGCATGAAATTATTAGGTAATTCCTTGTATGGTAAATCAATTCAGAAAGATATATTCACAACTAGACATTTATGGAATGAAGCAACTTTACAGGCCAACTTTGATTCACGCGTTAAAACCTATGAGAAAATTAATGATACTCAATATATTGTTGAAACAGAAATTGAAGAAAAAGAGATTACTACCGAAGATAGTAAATCTACACGACTAACACCTAGTCATTTGGGATCATTCGTTTTATCTCACAGTAAAAAAATAATGAACAATTTCATTCACGTCATAAATGGATTTTATAAACCCGAAATATACTATACCGACACCGATAGTTTGTACATTTCATCCAAAAATTGGAAAAAACTAAACAGAGCTGGTTTGGTCTCCGAAAAAGACAAAGGTAAAAACGATTACGGTGACGGTGGAATTATATTTGGTTTATATTTAGCACCAAAAGTCAAATACAACATCGTTTTGACTTCTGATGGTGTTTTAAAAGAAAAGAAAACGTTCAAAGGTTATTCTAATGATAAGATAAGTGTAGAAGATTACGTTCAGTTAGCAAGCGGACATGATGTGTCGAACGAATTTAATAAACCATGGGAAAAAAGTTTCACCAATGGAGTAGTTATTCCAAATGATAAACAAACTAAAGTTTTTAGAAGTTATTTGAATAATGTTAAAAGAAAACCACCAAACAACGACAAAGATGAGTATAGTTTTCATGAAAACTATGAATTTGATGATTTCGATTATCTTACTATTCAAGAAGAGAATGAAGATTGTTTTAAATGAAGTTGAATGACAATTTCTTCGTTGCCAAAGTCTATGAACCTGTTTTTACCGTCTTTAATTTCCAGATTTATATCTTTGATCATGAAAGAATTGACTGGTAAATAGGTAGTTTGAAGCGGTTTCTCTATAATCCTGTATCCGATCGGCACCGTAAAAGTCGATATGCTGTATATGATTTGGGTGCAGAAAGACGCTATAGGCGGACTGCCGACCCCACCCTCTCACTAAAATGGCCATAACTCGGCCAATTTTGACCCTAGAGGTATGATTTTGGTTGCAAACGAAAGTTAAACATGTCTTCTATCTATTTCAGTCGAAAACAGAAATTCGTATTTTTTCAAATCTTTCGGGAAAATCGACTTTAAAGTTGTACCCTTGATTTCAAGAGGAAAATCGCTTATATTTTGGTTTGGGAAAAAAGTCTGAGACCGAAAGTGCTGTAACAGGCAGAGTTTTCATGATAGGAGGCTGAAATTTGGGACACAACAACATCAGATAGGTGTGTACCTTCAGTGCAAATTTCAACTTTCCAGGTCTGATAGTCTTTGAACGGGAGCCTGTCAAAGTTTTGGTCTTCACTCAGACCAGTGCAATGGGACTCTATAGGCAGACTGCCGACCCCCACCCCCTCACTAAAATGGCCATAACTCGGCCAATTTTGACCCGAGAGGTACAATTTTTGTTTGTAATGATAGCTTATCATTTCCTCCATCTATTTCAGTAGAAACCAGAATTTCGAACTTTTTTCAAACTTTGGCCAAAATCGACTTTAAAGTTGTACCCTTGATTTCAAGAGGAAAATCGCTCACATTTTGGTTTGGGAAAACCGAAAGTGCTGTAACAGGCAGAGTTTTCATGATAGGGGGCTGAAATTTGGAACACAACAACTTCAGATAGGTGTGTACCTTCAGTGCAAATGTTAACTTTCCAGCTCTGATAGCCTTTGAACGGCAGCCTGTCAAAGTTTTGGTCTTCACTCAGACCAGTGCAATGGGACTCTATAGGCAGACTGCCGACCCCCAACCCCTCACTAAAATGGCCATAACTCGGCCAATTTTGACCCTAGAGGTATAATTTTGGTTGCAAACGAAAGTTAAACATGTCTTCTATCTATTTCAGTCGAAAACAGAAATTCGTATTTTTTGAAATCTTTCGGGAAAATCGACTTTGAAGTTCTACCCAAATTTTCAAGAGGGAAATTTGCTTATATTTTGGTGCGAGAAAAAACCTGAAACTTATAGTGCTGTAACAGGCTGAGTTTTCAAGATAGGAGGCTGAAATTTGGATCACAATAATTTCAGATAGGTGGGTACCTTCAGTATAAATTTCAACTTTCCAGCTCTGATAGCCTTTGAACGGCAGCCTGTCAAAGTTTTGGTCTTCACCCCATTGAAAATGCAGTGCAGAAAGACGCTATAGGCGGACTGCCAGACCCAACCCCATCACTAAAATGGCCATAACTCGGCCAATTTTGACCCGAGAGGTACAATTTTTGTTTGTAATGATAGCTTATCATTTCCTCCATCTATTTCAGTAGAAACCAGAATTTCGAACTTTTTTCAAACTTTGGCCAAAATCGACTTTAAAGTTGTACCCTTGATTTCAAGAGGAAAATCGCTCACATTTTGGTTTGGGAAAACCGAAAGTGCTGTAACAGGCAGAGTTTTCATGATAGGGGGCTGAAATTTGGAACACAACAACTTCAGATAGGTGTGTACCT